ACCAGACAGACAGACAGACAGACAGACAGACAGACAGACAGACCAGACAGACAGGCCTCTTCCCTCGTAACTTTAGAAGCAAACATTACAAGTTGAGGAATAATCTACGTCATTTCATTGTAGGATGACGAGGGGTGGGAGGGGGTGGGTGGAGGGGAGTGAGTGGGAGGTTATGGGTGAGAGGGGTTGAGTGGAGGTCATCAGTAGAAGGTGAGTGGTAGGTCTTAGTTGGGAGGTGAAGGGACAGCGTGGGTGGGAGGGGGGAGGGAGAGGATAAGTGGGAGGTCATGGTTGGGAGTGGGTGAGTGGGAGGTCATGGGAGGGGTTGAGGGAGAACATGGGTGGGAGGGGGTGAGTGGGAGGTCATGGGTGGGAGGGGGTGAGTAGGTAGAAGGATTATTCACTTCTATTTGTGTGGTAGAGAAGGAAAGGGATGAAAGAAAGAAGCTTTAGAGTGGGGTGTGGATAGTTGAGAGTTTAGTTTAACAAATTTATTGGGAGAGCTTGTAGTACAGTTTGCTTATTCTGAGTAATTCAGTCAGGTCTTGACACTGAGGGTGGTATCACTTCTCACTGTCATGCAGGACAGAGGTTCACACACAAAGAAATACATCATATTCATTAACAACTATAAATGTATAGAGGTCAGATTCATGTGGGTAATGTCACTGTTCACTGCCATGCAGGACAGAGGTTCGTACACAAAGAGTTGCATCATATTCATTGACAGTACATATACATATATGTACACACACACACACACACACACACATATATACATATACGTACATACACATATACAAACATATACATGTACATGTACATATACATGCACACACGCACACATACATACATATACGTCGGTCAGATTCATGTAGGTAATGCCACTGTTCACTGCCACGCAGGACAGAGGTTTGTACACAAAGAAGGAAATACATCACATTGAGAGGGATGGTAGTACAGTAGTTAGTAGGACGACGACCCAGTTCACAGTGTGGGCCAACGTATGCATTGTGTTAGTTATTGAAGCTGGTTTAGAGCCGTTTGTCTGGTTAGCTGCCCGCATTGTGAGGTGAGGTGAGGTGAGGTTGAGGTTGAGGTGAGGTGAGGTTAAGTTAGGTTAGGTTAAGTTAGGTTAGGTTGGTTTGGGTTAGGTTAGGATACATTGGCTACCATTTGCTGAGGTTTTGGCTAAGTTCTCACAGGCGAGGGCCATCACTAATGTAAGAATAACAACACAACACAACACACGGAACACAATACAACACATGGAACACAACACAACACAACACATGGAACACAACATAATACAACACAACACAACAAAACACAACACACTGCAACACATGGAACACAACACAATACAGCAAAGCACAACAAAACACAACACAATACAACACATGGAACACAACACAACACATTAGGAAGGCTGGCACCACAACAAACAGAGAAGGTTCCTTATACGGCTCGACGCCTTGAAGGACGCCGCAAACATTGACCAGATGCATCATACACTTAACCCGATCTTGTCCCTATCACCGCCACTCGAGTCGTCTGAGTGTGTGTGGCGTTCTGATGGTCAGTACACCCTCCTGCCGCTCAGAACTTCCTCAACACAACCACGAGTATTTGTGGATACTAGACTATGATGTATCTACTGTATAACTAACTTAAGTGTATCTAGAATTAATTACTACTTTACTACATAAGTTAAGAGAAAATTATGTGACTCAGTTACGTACATCTGAAATACTTGTCATTGTATATATAAGTTAAGATATTAAATAGATATGAAGTTAAATGCATCCTAACTACAATTCATATTTAGGTTAAGGTATTAAGTTTATGATAACTTTCAACACCTGGGCTTTACTCTAACCTGTAGTTACTGTTAATTAAACCTGAATTTGTACCTATACATCTGAATGAATTTATAATACTGTAACCGCCTGGGAATTTATGTATTCCGTATGTTTTATGTCTGTATCTCTACTTGTACATTTAATTATGAATAAACAATAATAATAAAAATATCCCCTTTTACCTTTAAGTTCACTAGGATAACTTTATTTAAATCATACATTGTTTCTCGAAAAGTAAATGGAAAAGTTTATTATTGCTTCTTTTTGGGGGGGGGGGGTGGAATTAATTAAATGTTTTGTACTTCTGTTGTTCATTTCTAGGACGATTCTGTTCAGCCGGAGGTCGGTGGCTGGGTGGAACAATATACCCGGAGTGTACCGAGACAGTGAGGATATTTCTGGAACAATGAGGAAGTCTTTAGGGAAGAGAGAGAGGGAGAGAGAGGGAGAGAGAGAGAGAGAGAGAGAGAGAGAGAGAGAGAGAGAGAGAGAGAGAGAGAGAGAGAGAGAGTTGGTTGAATCTCATCCTTGTTATCACCTCCAGAGTTGAGCCGCTCCCTCATCACCTTCCTCATGAAGTGTGAGGTAGCGGGGGATTCCTCGCTCTTCAGGCCAATGAGAGGAGGCTGTGAGGGTTACCGTTGGCCTTACCTGTCATCATCTTAATCTTCTAATGAGGTGTTTGTCCCAGGTGTTTGTTTGTGGTGTTTGGTTTGTGGTGCTTGAGGTGTCTGAGCAGCAACACCCACAGACACAGCAACAGACCAACACAACAACACTCGGCAGCCAAGGTCTTGAGAAACTCTGCTAATGTAGGTAATTCCTCGCCGCCACTTGAGGTGTTGTGGCAGGCAGGTAGGACACTTATGGTACCTCTTACGATGCCCCTTTATTACTGCAGGTGTGTGTGTGTGTGTGTGTGTGTGTGTGTGTGTGTGTGTGTGTGTGTGTGTGTGTGTGTGTCTCATCCACCACCTCTCTCACTCTATTCCCCTTATCTCAATTATCTCTCCCTCTCCATCTCTACAACATCTCGCTTAAAAAAATAAAATAAATCTCATTCAAGAGACACTAAACAATTCACCAATCTCTTTACGCTACCTCCAGCATCCAACTAACCAGAATATATTTTATTATATATATATTTTTTTTTAATTATTCATTTATTAATCTGATTTGAACCGCAATAATGAATTAAATTTTTATTATGAGTTATGATAAGATCTTTGAGAGTATGTACAGGGGTGGAAATTCGCCTAGACTCGAATCTCTGTCTTTCAAGGGCTCTTATTACATGAAGCTCTCTCTCTCTCTCTCTCTCTCTCTCTCTCTCTCTCTCTCTCTCTCTCTCTCTCTCTCTCTCTCTCTCTCTCTCTCTCTCTCTCTCTCTCTCTCTCACGGCCCACCAGCCCTCGGTTATATATGAGAAACACGAGTGTGAGATATGAAGACGGAAGGCAGTGCGTGAGAAGTAGACGATGATGGAGGGAAGAACCCCATAGAGAATGATAACAGGGAGATTGAGAGAGAAACGCCGAGGAGGAGGAGGAATGATAAGGTGTGGTGGAGTAAGGTAATAAATTTGGGTGGATAGGTGAAAGGTAGGATAAGAGGAGCATTGGTTGAGCATATGTGGAGCATTGGTTGAGGTGAGGTTAGGTTAGGTTAGGATAGTTGGGTATTATACATTGTTTAATACTACTGTTGTTGTTATTTCTATTCCTATTCCTTTATATGTGACTTGTGGTGTGTGTGTGTGTGTGTGTGTGTGTGTGTGTGTGTGTGTGTGTGTGTGTGTGTGTGTGTGTGTGTGTGTGTGTGTGTGTGTGTGTGTGTGTGTGTGTGTGTGTGTGTGTGTCTGTGTGTGTATCATAAAAGGACTGTGTCGTCTTGTGCTCAATGAAAGTGAAAAATAGTGAGAAAGAGAAGCAGAGTGGAAGCATACGACCATATTTCAGGGAGGTCGACACAACGACGCCCGGCCATTCCTCACCACCACCCCCTACCCTCGACGGCTCACACTTAGTAACTTTTAAAAACTTCAAGAATATTGATGAAATACGCACATAAAAAAGCATACGAGTAACAACTGATAATAGCACTTTCTACATACTTTTCTTAACTCCCCCCCCCACCCCGGCGCAAATCGATCATCATTTGTTTTGCGCAGTTAAGAGGCGAACTATATCACCTATATTAAAGATCCCATTGTAAAGAATTCGTATTATATTAACACATTCTATAAAATATAGCGGATGTCTGGAAAAAAAAAATATATATGACACAAAAAAACAAGATATTATGTAGAAAATAAATAGGTTCGTGATAGCGTTCGTGGGACTTGTTTAACATCAGTCACTGTACCGAAGGGGTGGGAAGGCAGAGGAAGAGTTTGTTTACATACACAGATCCGGATTTACCCAAGGCAGAACACCGGGACTAAAGTTTATTGGGCGCCCCCCCTTGTATCCTGGAAAGTTTGTTTTACATTATTCATCACGCTGAGGTGACCTTTCTCCCTTCACCATCTCTGTTTTCTCTTCCTTTTCTTCTTTTATATCGTTTCCTCGTCCTCCTCTTCCCTCTATCCCTTCTTCTTCTGTTTCTTTTGTTCTTAGATTTGCTCTCCTTGCCCTCTATATTTTTTGCTATTTTATTCCTCTTTTATCTCATCCTCCTCCTCTTCCTACTCCTTTTCCTCGTTTTTTTCATTCTCTTCTTCCTCGTTCTCCCCCTCTCCTTTCTTCTCCCCCTCCTATTCCTTTCTCATTCTTTCTCTGTTTTTTAATCTTTCTTTCTTATTATTTTTCTATACTTTCATTTCTTGCTCTCTATTTCTCTTTTCATTGCCCTTCCCTTCATCTCCCTTCCCTTCTATGTTTTCCTTTCTCTATCTCTTCTTATACCTCTCCCCTTCTTTCTTCATATTTTTTTTTATCTTCTACTCCCCTTTTCACTCTCTTTCTCTCTCTCTCTCTTTCTCTCTCTCTCTCTTTCTCTCTCTCTCTCTTTCTCCCCTCCCCACAATATATCTCTTTCCGTCTCTAATCACTACCTCTCCTTCCTTCCTTCCTTTTTCTTTCTTTCTTTTCTCCTTCCATTCTTCCCTCCTTCCTTCCTTTGTTTGTTTGTGTGTTCCTTTCCCTTTTCCTTTCTTCCCTCCTTCCTTCCTTCCCCTAAAGCATCTACACCCCATCCACCATTGCTCACAACACAAACCCTAAACAACACCGGTTAACGCTTCAACACTAGTCACAACACCCCAAGAGAAACAGCCCACTCTAGGCCTAATAAAACACCGATTAACGCTCCAACACTGGCAAGGAGAAATATATTACGGTAATCTGAAGACATTTTTTTTAGGCGCGTCACCGAGTTGGACAGATTCTCTTCTGTAACTGTTCCCTTGCACTAAAAACATTCTCTCTCCCTCTGTCTACTTGAATACGTTGTCTAAACCATCTTTTAAAACTTGTTACTCAATTCTCTGTGTAATTATACTGTTTATATACGTATTTACAGTGAACTTTGTCATGCTATTAAGGTAAAATACGTTTTAAGTTCGTTTCTCTTGAATGCTGTAATGGTGGCGGTTTGTTTACATCTGATTTTTGAGAGGAAGTGAGACTCAGAATTTGTGAATGAATAAGACATTAGTAAACTTAAGTTAGTTTTTTCCTGTGAATTTAGAATCCGAAACTGATTTGGACTCGAGTCTCTGAACACGTCCTTCTTTCTCTGTTATTAGTCTTGGTGTATCGACGCAAATAGGGTATATAAAGTATTTTCCCAACAGCTTGTCCAACAATTTCTCCAACATTTGTCCAACATTTTATCCAACGTGCATAATATATCTCGCTAATTAAGGTGACAGTATTTCCCTCACTTACCTGTGTTGTACAGATCAGATCGATGACGTCACGACAGGTAACTCTCGCACCTGAAGAGAAGAGAGAGATATACATTACTGACTACACACACACACACACACACACACACACACACACACACACACACACACACACAAGGTCAACTCATCTCAGGCAGCTATAACATCACAGAAGGGATTTAACCTATCAGTCACGTCGCCCGGGGAAGAGGGACATATACCGTAACGTGTGGTGGACATAGGAGACCTTCTGACGGGTATAGGAGACGTGTGACGGACATAGGGGACAGATGACGGGTATAGGAGACGTGTGACGGACATAGGAGACAGGTGACGGGTATAGGAGACGTGTGACGGACATATAGGTGACAGGTGACGGGTACCAGGAGACGTGTGACGGACATAGGAGACAGGTGACAGGTATAGGAAGACGTGTGACGGACATAGGAGACTAAGATATACCGTCTCTGGACTGGAGGCGAAAAGAATATATGATGAATGAGGGAATGGGCAGGAGCGCTAATGATAATGAGTTTTGTGGCGAGTAGAAGTGAGGGTATAGAGGAGAGAGGAAGACAGGTGATTAGAAGAGGAGGAGGAAGACGAAGAGGAAGGTGAGGAGGAAGAGGAGGAGTAGGAGGAGGAGGAGGAGGAGGAGGAGGAGGAGGTGTAGAGGAGAGGAGAAAAGGAGAAAAAAGAGAGGGGAGGTAGAGTGGAGGGAAGAGGTGAAGAGGAAGGAAGACAAGACTAAAGACAGAGAAGTGAAAGAGTAGGAGGAGAAGGAAGAAGATGATGGGAGGAGGAACAGGAGGAAGAGTAGGAGGCGGGTAAGGAGGGGAAGGAGGAGAGAAAGAGAAAAAAGGAGAGGAGGAAGAAAAAGAAGAGATTAAACGGGCCATTAATTCCTTCTAGTCCGGTCACAGCATTCACAATATACCCGGACGGACAGACAGACAGACGGGCGGACAGATGGACGGGTAGTAATCATTTTGTTTCTTCTTTATTATTATTGTTGTTGTTGTTGTTTTTGTTGTTGTTTTTGTTGTTGTTGTTGTTGTTTTTGTTGTTGTTTTTGTTGATGTTGTTGCTTGCTGTCACTTACCTGAGTATCGAGTAAAGATTTCAAAGGTTCCTAGTGTTAAATTTACCTTATCCGGTGAAACACGAACACTTAACATTAAGACCCTGCACTCCAGGCCAATGCCACACACACACACACACACACACACACACACACACACACACACACACACACACACACACACACACACACACACACACACACACACATGAAGACACAATCGGCTCCCAGAGAAGTTATGATTACAGGCAAACAAACGGACAGAAATACAGACAGAGAGAGAAAAAAAAATGACAGACAAACAGACACGTATATAACCATCGTCTATATTTTACCGCCAGGGCCAGAGGGGATAACGCGTGTATCAAACAAATGGGAGGGAGAGAGAAGGAGAAGGAGGGAGGGAGGGAGGGTACCTTCTATATCTTCATCACGTCAGTAGGAGGGAACTGAGACATGTCAACTTGGTCCGTGATGGAGGGAGGGAGGGAGGGAGAGAAACAGGAGGAGGGGAGAGAGACAGGAGGAGGGGAGAGAGAGACAGGGGGGAGGGAAGGATGTCGATAATATACACAAGTTTGAGAGATAAGAAGATAATGATGATTTACAACAGTGTGATAGTAAACTTGTTATAATTTACAACGCCACGTCAATGATTTACAACTGTTTACACGTAATGGCAATATGCCCCCCCTTCCCCAATTTTTTTTACACCGGTTTATGAATGAATATATTTGTTTTTCGAATTATTGTAATCTTTTATAAACTAATATCCAAACAGTTGCCATACTCCCGGCAGCGCAGATGGAGAGACGTATTTATAGAAAAATCTCTCTCACGCTGATAAAACATTGTCAGTCAGTCAGTCAGAAGAAGCTGATATAGGGCTGACTAACGCATTGATGAAGATAATAATAATAATAATAATAATAATAATAATAATAATAATAATAATAATAATAATAATAATAATGAAGAAGATGATGATGATGCTATTAATTTTCTCTCTATTCATTATAAATATTCTTCATTCTTCTTCATCTTGTTTCTTCTTCCTCCTTTTCCTCCTCCTCCTTCCCCTCCTCCTCATCCACCTCCTCTTCCTTCCCCTCCTCCTCCTCCACCTCCTCCTTCTCAGATCACTTCTTGCCCAGAATATAACTTCATGACAGTAAACTCCATCTTGATTGTACCAGACACACAGACACACACACAGAGAGAGAGAGAGACAGAGAGAGAGAGAGAGAGAGAGAGAGAGAGAGAGAGAGAGAGAGAGAGAGAGAGAGAGATAAGGTCACAGGTCACCGTTCAAACAAGCAACATCATGCTAGCTGACACAATGAGAGCAGTGTAATTGGCTTTTAAGGTCCAATAAATATGAATTATTTGAAAAAATTACATAGAGCACGTTGGTGTATATAAATTCTGGATACTCTGTGTGTGTGTGTGTGTGTGTGTGTGTGTGTGTGTGTGTGTGTGTGTGTGTGTGTGTGTGTGTGTGTGTGTGTGTTCCCCATAATCCATCATCTCCTCCTCTCCGATGCTCACCAACAATAACACACCATGTCCCTCCCTCTCTCACTTTTCCTCGCTCTCTCTAATTCTCACTCTCTTTTCACCTCCCATTCTTCTTCACACCTCCATCTCACCTCCTTCTCACCCCACCCATCCCTTCCCTCAACCCACCCACCCTCTCTTCACCCCCACCCACCTCTCTCTCAATTCTCTACCCACCTCCTCCCCACCCCACCTCCACCTCCCTTCACTCCCCACCCACCTCATTCTTACCACCTCCCTCTCACCCCACTAACCAAGAAGTCCCTACAGCAATACACAAGCCTTTAACACGTCTCTCTCTCTAATCATCACCAAAATGAATGAATCAATTAATCCCTGCTTATTTAATTACTAGAATTAATTAAAGGGCTTTTCTAATTAGTGAAATCTTTCTTGTCGATCGAATCCACTTCTGAGGAGGTGGAGAAAGAGGGTGGGAGGTAGAGGAGCTGAAGGGAGGGAGAGGGGTGAGAGAGGGGGGAGAGGAGGAGGTACAGGAGGAGGTACAGTAGGAGGGACAGTGGGGAGGGAGAGAGGGAGGAGAGAGGGAGGGAGAAGGGAGGGAGAGGGAGAGAATGAGACGTTACTTAGCCTCCAGGGGTTCATTAGGCAGGTAGGTGAAGCATTAGATACCGGGTTCGGAAAAGGTTTCGAAGCCCAATGGGTCTTTCCGTCTGGCCCCGAGGATGGTGCGGATTTACCCCTTATCTGTCTCTGTATATTTTGTTGTAGTCCTTTGAGCCATTTATCTTTCTTCTTTCTCGATTTCTTTCATTTTATCATTGAATTCTCTTCCTTTTGTACTTTCTTTCATTTTTTTTCATTTAATGTTCTTCCTTCTCATCTTTGTCCTGCCAGCACAAGCGGTCACTAACGCCTGGCATCCACTTCCAGCTCTGCCAGGTGGAGAAATAGGTGGACACAGGTAGAGGGGCAGGTGGACACAGGTGGACACAGGTGGAGGAACAGGTGGACACAGGTAGAGAGGCAGGTGGACACAGGCAGAGGAGCAGGTGGACACAGGTGGATACAGGTGGACAAAAGTGGACACAGGTAGAGAGGCAGGTGGACACAGGCAGAGGAGCAGGTGGACACAGGACACAGGTAGAGGGACAGGTGGACACAGGTGGATACAGGTGGACAAAAGTGGACACAGGTAGAGAGGCAGGTGGACACAGGCAGAGGGGCAGGTGGACACAGGTGGGACACAGGTAGAGGGACAGGTGGACACAGGTGGACACAGATAGAGGGACAGGTGGACACAGGTAGAGGGACAGGTGGGACACAGGTGGACACAGGTGAGGAGCAGGTGGACAGGTGGATACAGGACACAGATAGAGGGACAGGTGATACAGGTGGACACAAGTGGACATAGGTAGAGGGACAGGTGGGACAGGTGGATACAGGTGGACACAAGTGGACAGGTGAGGGACAGGTGGACACAGGAGAGGGACAGGTGGACACAGGATACAGGTGGACACAAGTGACAGTGGACACAGGTGGACACAGATGGGGACAGGACACAGGAGGAGCAGGACACAGGGACACAGGGGACACAGGTGGATACAGGTGGACACAGATGAGGGACAGGTGGATACAGGGACACAAGTGGACATAGGTAGAGAGGGACAGGTGGACACAGGTGGATAGCAGGTGGCACAAGTGGACAGGAGGGACACAGGTGGACACAGGGAGAGGGACAGGTGGACACAGGTGATACAGTGGACACAGGTGGAGGGACAGGTGGACAGCAGAGGGACAGGTGGACACAGGTAGAGGGACAGGTGGACACAGGAGGGACAGGTGGACACAGGTGGACACAGGTAGAGGGACAGGTGGACACAGGTGGATACAGGTGGACACAAGTGGACACAGGTGGAGGGACAGGTGGACACAGGGAGGGACAGGTACACAGGTGAGGGACAGGTGGACACAGGTGGAGGGACAGGTGGACACAGGTGGAGGGGCAGGTGGACACAGGTAGACACAATGGAGTACTAATTCTGAAGTAGGGAACCATTACGTAAATTACTATGTTGGGAAACAGAGTCTAGCCCCCATCTCTCTCTCTCTCTCTCTCTCTCTTCTCTCTCTTCCCCATAGGCGATTGGAGACGACATAGGTGAGGGGAGAGAGACTAGGTGAGGAGAGAAAGAGACACTGGGTGAGGGGAGAGACAGAGTGAGAGAGGCAAGAGGGGAAGAGAAAGGGGTATATGAAGAAGATTAATAGAGAAGTGAGATGAGAGGAGGAAGGATATAATGAAGAGAAGCGTGGATAGGGAGAGAGGAGGAGGAGGAGGAGAACGAGGAAGAGAGGGATGAGAAGAACGAGTAATAGAGGAGGAAGATCGAATAGAAAAATATAGGAGAGAGGAGAGAGAGAGAGAGAGAGAGAGAGAGGAAGAAAGAGA